GTAGTAGAATTTTCCCAATACAATACTTATAAACCGTCATTTTATTTCCCCATTAAATCGCATCTATTTTTATTATTCCCGTCTTTTGCCAGTACTTCTTAAGAGTGTTCTCCTAACCAGGCTTTATTTTTATAAGGTACCTAGGCTGATTTAATGAATGCTTTTCTTTGTAGGAAAAGGGTCATTTGTACATGAGACGGCTAGTATGAAAACAATTATTTTAGTCTTGCTGGGTAGCCTAAGGTGCTTTAAGGGCTGTTTGTTGAGTTTGAGCCTCATAATGTCATTAATTTTCATTTAGCCCTGCCTTATAAAAGCCATTTTCGTCCAGATTCGACTATAGCTTCGAACTCGACTCACCATCTTCTCCATTGTCCCAATGGAATTCGAAACCAGACCATGCGAATTGTGGCTACCCGTTACCATTCCGCCACGCAGCCACGTATCCCAGTGGGCCGCAAGATCACATTTCCACACTGGAATTGTTGATAAGGCAAACTTTTATTTGCCATTATTTTCGATGACGCTACTTATTTACGATATACGTTTCCTACTCATAGTAGTTTTGAAAAATACATGGAAATAAGGCTAGAAAAAGACGAGTGGAAAGCTTTGTAAATTGGCCTCACCGGTAACCAAAAAAGGCCTTCTTTGTATTGCCACTGATGAATCCGTACTTGGCTTTCATCTGTCCCGTTGTGACGAACATCGTCAGAGTCAATGAGCATCATTTACAAAAAATTCACTGAGACACTAAACCAATAAAGCTTTTTGGTTAATGCTTCTTGGCTGATAGTCTTTATCTCTGATGATGACTGCTTGAGCGGGAAGGACGAAAACTAAGTACGCATTCATCGGGGCCGCAGCGCGGAGAGCGGAGGTCTTCTTCGCATATTCCGGCAGTCACAGCTCGGAAGAAATCCAAGTCCACGGCTCGACAGTGGGATCTATTATAACTACTCTATCCAAGGACTTCGGATAAGGTGCGCCCAACTGTCTCTCTGACAACACGACCTAGTTGTGCAGACGAAGTTAGACCACTTTGAATCCTAGTTTGGTTTTCAATGAGGCAAATTCACGAATCGCGCTATCAACTAAGTGTTTCTTGTCGATGAAAAGTACGCTAATCTCAATCTAGTAAGGGATTCTTTGAGTCTCTACTTTTCGTCATACATTGACTGGAAGGTTTTGCAAGGTTGATATACAGTTCTTAGGTTGCCTGTTAAATGACACTATAGACATAAGTCGAGCCAGTTTTCCCTGAACTCAAGGAGGAGTCTGGGAACTGCGTCGATCGGCCTTCTATGCAACGGGAATCAATCCAGTAATCTTTCAATCGGACGCTTGCATAAAACTAAAGTCACCGCAGCGAACAGCCTGGTTACGCTGGTCCGTAGACCCCGAATTCTGCCTGGTTTCTGGGATTGCACACAGGATTTTGTCTCTTCTTCAACGGTATGATGGCTTAAAGCTCATCCGATTCGACTGCTAACTCACCGCTTTCTGGAGCCTCAACGCCTCTGGTGCCTCGTCTGATTTGCTCGTGACCTCTTGCATCACTTCTGTCTACCGGTGAACTGTTGCCTTCTCTACTTGCACATGCTTGGATCGATCCGCTTCCAGGTTTCTGGGCAGATGAATCAGACGTTTTATGTTTATCCTCTTCCTTTTCTCTGGTGTAGACTGTGCTGGACACCTCGCCTCCACTTTGACCCCCAAAATGCCCTTTTTCTCGCTTTTCGGTCACATACATATCCGGCTTCTCTAAAGTCGCCTCTTGTAGGCCCGTCTTCTGACCGCCGCAGCTTCGAGCACTCTCCGTCGGGCCGACTTTGCCTCCGGTCCCCTCGCCCTTCTCAATTCATCCTTCGCCGACATGTCAGTCGTCCAGCCAACCAGCCGCCTCCATTTGCTGGGGCCGGTTGTCAGCCTCAATCCAAGGCGAGCCTGTTTTCATGGCCTGGCTCGGTTGGGCATGCCTTTCGTCACGACTTCAATCGGTGTTTGCCCGTTAAACTGATGGCCCTACAACCGGGTCAAATTGGTTGTGTCAGAGCCGAGAGAAAGGCTCACCTTGTCGAGGGTTGTTCACTCCAGCATCAGAGGAGCCGTCTTTGTCGAGGTTTTTCTGATAGTCTCGAGGCCCACTTTCAGACGAAGAAGTTTGGGGTCTTATGACTATGCTTGCCTGTCCTTGCACATTCTCAGGTCAGATTGAACGGCTGAAAGGATGAGTGAAATAACGCTGACCTACCTTTCATTTCGTTAGCAACTGCGGCTCGAGGGGATTCGTAGATTGGCCCCGCCTTGGAGCTGTGACTTATGGGTCGTGCGAAGAAGACCTTGACTCAACGTCCTGCGATCCCGATCTATCCGTGTTGAGCCTTCCTCCGTTATCTGACGGATATCGTCAGAAACGAAAGCCATAATTTAAAAAAAACTTTCATCTTAAACACCAACTCAAGAAAGAGATTATTCGAAACTCGCC